TAGGAGAAATAAATAACCTGGTTTTATTACAAGCAAATGAAGTGAGTAGAAAGGTGAAAGGGGGGAGGGGCTTTTATTAACTGAAGAGGAGTTCCTTTTTCTTTTTTAATTAAAAAAGGTGTGGCACAGAGTAGTAAGATGAATGGTTCTGTCTGAACCTGACACCAGGGAACTTTTGCGGTGGGAATAGGGAAAAATATAAAAAGTAAAGATGTAACTAAACAAAGACCTTCTCTGCCTATTGTGTCCAGGGGGTACATCACAATCAATCAAAAAGAAGGGTAACACCCCCTCCCTGGGCAGAGAAATAACCTTTTAAGGTAAAACCAGCATTTAATGAACATGTAGCAGTTTATGTAACCGAAAGAACTACAAAAGGTGTGGTTTTCAAACTGGTCCTGTGCTTCCAGACCCAAGTGGCTTTGGGACACAGCACACTGAAATTAAACCTTCTGTTACACTTCCTTTGTCTCACAGGTTTTTGCCGTCTTTCCAAATTCGAAAGAAGGATTTTTCCCACACTAGGACAGGGCTCCCAGTAATGCTCTCTTTTGTTCCAGTTCTGGTGAGGGCTGCAGGGCTGGCAGGAAATCCATTGACTGGGAACCAAAACCAAACTGCTCCCTGACTCTGCCTACAAGTAGTGACACAGGGGACAGTGGTGCTTTCTGTAGGGCACACACAGCTTGTTTGCCCAGAGATCTGGGAATGTGGCACCAAGGATGGGCCTGAATCAGGACAGCAGCTCAACAGGCAATGGAAACCACCCCTGGTCCTGTGTACCAGACTCAGCCTTGCCTGTTTACCTCCAGCTGTGTGCAAACAAACTTTGTCCTTGGAGGTGTCCTAGGAGTGACTGGACATGGCACTCAGTGCTCTGGGCTGGCTGACAAGGTGGGGATCAGGCACAGGTTGGACTCAATGATCTTGGAGGTTTTTCCCAACCTAAACGACTCTGTGATTCTGTGATTCCCTCTCTTGTTTCCCAGAGCAGTTAATACCACCTTCTCTCCCTGACAGCTGCTCAGCAGACACGAGCCAGAAGGACAACAGCATCACTCTGATCTCCATGAAGAACATCAACATGAACAACAGCATGAGTTACCCACCATCAGAAAAGGTGTCCCTTTTCAGCCTTGCTTTTTAGGGCATTAGCTGGGGATCATTTCTGTGGCTGGATAAGAGCATGCCTTTGAGGTACTTCTTTGGTCTCTTATTCCTTCAGAAATATAACAAAAAAACAGCTGCCATCAAACTCCTAAATGTCCAAACTGGTTCCAGTGAGCCCAGTGAAAAGTTTGGGTGCCCATCTCAGGTTTACCTGAGCTGCCTGAACTCGAGGTGTCAAATATACCTCATGTATACAGGTGACATGGCCTAAGGCCAGCCAACAAAGTGGTTTGTCATTAAATGAAGAGGTCAGCAGCCTTTGAGAAATCAAGGTCTCACTCTCCAGCCCAAGCTCACCCACTCCAGCTCCACAGGTGGTTGAAGCACATTCCCTTCAGTGCCCTCACATCCATCCCACACGAGGATTTCACATCATTTTCACTTGTTTTAAAGCTGGGATTGAGTTTGGGAGAACACAATGCTTTGAACTCCCTCTGCCAGCCCAAACAGGCTGCTGATGCCCCATGTCCTGTTCTTTTGCCAGGTGCTATGAAGAGCCCAGAGAACGAAGCTGAGACATCACAACCAGCAGTGACTTTCTAGGTTCTTTTTCTTTTTTTTCCTTTGTGGAAAGAGCGAGGGTGGATTTTATATATAAATTATTATGTCCTTTCTGATCAATACATATAGTGTCCTACATAGCTTCCCCACCTGGGGCCTAAGGGCTTTCTCCAGTTACGGCCTGCCATGCTCAGTGGTTGATATCTAACTCTATTTTTGAGATGCCTTCAAACACTCAGAATAAATCCAGCAGCAGAAAGCACCAAGGCACCACCTACTTCACTAATGGCCTTTACAGTCTGTGCCAGGCAGTCACGGCTCGTTAATCAGCGCAGCCCCACGTCAAGTCAAAGCTGTGTGTTAGGAAAGCCTGATCTGAAGACCTGAGGAGACTTAAATGGCCAAGTTCTAGGTCAAATCCCAGTATGATAATCCAAGCCCCTTATCCCTGGTGCCCTCGTTGTCCCCACAGTGGTGGGGATGATCACACCCACCTGCCTCACAGGGTTGTTGTGAGGCTACAGTAGTCCATGTCTGTACAGCATTTGGAGAGCCGTGAATTAAAGGTGCTGCTGAAATACAATTTGCTGTCTTAAAGACTTTATTATTAATACCTGAGCTTCAGGCAGGCAGATCACTGCCTTCCCATGTGCTTAAACACTCATCTGAAGTGTGAGGAATGAAGTCTCTGCACAGACAGGGGTTTAGCTGAGTGTAAAACCCAGTGGCCACAAGCAACATGCTGAGCTACTTGAGTTCCTGGAGTCTGGCAGCGCGAGTGTGCTTGGGAGAGCTTCCATCGTCTCCACCACTGCTTTCCCAGAGCTTCCTGATAGACCAGAAGAGCAGCATCCCCATCCAGCCAGGACCCCCAGCTCAGCACAGCCCCAGGAACCACCAGTGCACCCCAAGGTTGTAGGGGTAAATACCCTTTTTCTGGAAGATTTCACTTTGAGGACATTAGAGCTTAATTAGATGTTTTGCTTAAGGAGACTTTCTGCCTAAGAAGAAACCCCTTTTTCAAAGAGAGTTGGATGTTTCTTTTCCTTCTGCATTCCAAAGAAAGCTACAGTCTTTCTCTCTGGTCTGAGGAGAAATAAACCCTCACAGTGTTACAGGCCTTTGCTTTGGGGAGGGCCTGGGGGAGGACAGAGAAGATAAGAGGCCTGGAAGGGAACAGGAGGCTTTCTCAGGCCCAGCACTTTTGCAGCTGCTGCAGGTTCTCTTGGGGAGTTTTTATCATTCTCGACTTCAGAATAAACCTTTTGGATTCTTTTCACTGCCTTGGCAATTTTGGGGGTACCTGTGTGTATCTTACCACACAAAGGCACCTCAAGGACAGCCCTTCGTTGGGTTCCCCAGGGCAGTAGCTCCTGTTTGGAGCCTGCTGGTCACAGCCTGAGTTGGTTCAGCCCCAGCCATACTCACTCACCACCTTCAGCAAAATACTCACATGAGGAGGGTGGGGATGTCCATCCCTAGCATCCACGTGAGAGAAATGATGCCCCACTGGGTATTTCTGGAGGTCTCAGCTGCCTCATTCAGCAGAGTAAGGTACTGAAGCACTAACCCTGCACTACCTCTGCCCATCTTCACCGTGACTCCTGCTTGGAAGCTGCATCAGTTCCAGCAGCACAGACCTTGGGAGAACCTTGTCTGTGCAGCAGCAGCACAGTGAGATACTGGTTCCCCTAACAGGAGCAACATCATCCATCAACCCTGAAGGTAAACTGTGACATTAAGGAAAAAAGGACCTAGCCAAGCACTCAGAAGGGATATTGCTGCACACATTCCCCTGCACAGTTCAGTGAAAAATTGTAATTGAGCTTGATTTAATCTAATAGGATGGATAAGAGATGTTTGCTGGTATGGGCAGTGTAGGAGGTAGCTGTGCTTTGCAGCTGGCAAGGAAGCGTTCAGCAAAATACATGCAATGTTTTCACAACTCATGCTAAGAGCCAACACATTTTCTACCTTTAACATCTGCACCAGGGAGTTTGATAAGTTGTTTTTTAATAAATACAGCTTTTCTGATAACATTCATGAAAAGTAAAATACCATTGCTCACCCAGCCTCTGCCAGACTGGTGAATTTGCTTAAACATGAAGTCCCAGGTGATTCCCAGTTGGGTGAACCCGGAGCTCCAGATCCCAGAGACCTGTGACTCCACTCATGGAACACCACAAGTAGGTTTTTAGTGAGTATCAAGCTTTAACACATCTCTGCAGACTCCTGAGATCCCATGGGATCTTGCCACTGCTCAAGTTTTCCTTCCTTTGACCTACTTCTTTCCACAGACCCTTGAGAATCTTACACAGAGGGTGGGGAGGCCCTGGCACGGGTTGCCCAGAGAAGCTGTGCCTGCCCCTGGAAGTGTCCAAGGCCAGGTTGGATGGGGCTTGGAGCAACCTGGGCTAGAGGAACGTGTCTCTGGCAGGTGGGATGAGGAAAAACCAGCAGCAGTATTAGCAATGATAAAGGCAGCTGGGAAATGTCTTCCTTGCCGTGAGGGGCCCAGAACTGGACACAACCCTGGAGGGGCCTCAGCAGGGCCAGCACAGGGACAGTCCCTGCCCTGGTCCTGCTGCCACACCATGGCTGGCACAGCCCAGGGGCCAATGGCCTCTTGCCCCCCTGGGCTCACCTGGGCTCATGTCCAGCCCCTGGCACCAGCACCCCCAGGGCTTTCTCTGCTGTTGGAGAGTGTCCAAAGGAGGGACATGAGGATGATGAAGGGTCTGGAGAGACCACACAAGAGCGGCTGAGGGCACTTGGTGTGTTCAGCTGGAGCAGAGGAGGCTGAGGGGAGACCTCAGTGCAGTTCCGACTGCCTGGGCAGGGGCAGAGGAGGGGCAGGGACTGAGCTCTGCTCTGGGGGGACCAGGGACAGCAGCCAGGGAATGGCTGGAGCTGTGTCAGGGCAGGCTCAGGTTGGATCTCAGCAAAAGGTTCTTCCCCCAGAGGCTGGTTGGGCACTGCCCAGGCTCCCCAGGGCAGTGGGCACAGCCCCAAGGCTGCCAGAGCTCCAGGAGGGTTTGGACAATGCTCTCAGCGACAGGGTGGGATTGTTTGGGATGGTCCTGTGCAGGGCCAGGGGTTGGACTGGATGGTCCTTGTCAGTCCCTTCCAACTCAGGACATTCCATGATCCCATGACATCCCCAACGCTGCCATCCCGCTCTCAGCGCTGTCCCCGCCCGGCACACACCGTGCCCGGTCCCACACAGGGTCCCCCCGCCCCGGGGCCGCTCTGACGTCATCCCCCGCTCCCCTCAGAGCCTCTCATTACGTCACCGCCGCGCTATGACGTCACGCCGCCATTCCCGGCGGGGCCGCTCCCGGCAGCCCCCGCGTACAAGATGGCGGCGCGGGGCGGCGGGCGGTGAGCGGGGGCGCGGCCCCGGGCAGACATGACCTACACGGCCGAGCAGCTGGACGGGGTGCGGCGGTGAGCGGGGCCGGGGGGCGGCGGGGAGCGGGGCCGGGGGAGCGGGCCCCGGGGATAACCGTGTGTCGGCCGCCAGGATCAAGCGGTGCCGGGACTACTACGAGATCCTGGGCGTGAGCCGGGACGCCGGCGAGGAGGAGCTGAAGCGCGCGTACCGCCGGCTCGCCCTCAAGTTCCACCCCGACAAGAACCGCGCGCCCGGGGCCACCGAGGCCTTCAAAGGTGAGGGAGCTCCGTGAGGGGCCCGGGGGGCTCCGTGAGGGGCCGAGCGGCCGCACCCGCAGAGGCCGCGGGTGCCGCGGACACACCGGCGGCCACACAGAACCCCCCCGCGGCTCGGCAGGGTTGGCATTTTCCTCCGCACAATGCAGCATTTCCATCAGAAACCGAGGGAAATGTACCTCAGGTCTCATTCCGAGAACTTCTGAGGGATTTTGCAGTGGCACGAGGTGACAGGCCAAGGAGGAATGGGTTCACACTGACAGAAAGCCCGGCTAGATAGAGTATTGGGAAAAAATTGTTCCCTGTGAGGGTGGGGAGGTCCTGGCACAGGTTGCCCAGAGAAGCTGTGGCTGCCCCTGGATCCCTGGAAGTGTCCAAGGCCAGGTTGGACAGGGCTTGGAGCAACCTGGGCTAGTGGAAGGTGTCCCTGCCCATGGCAGGGGGTGGAAGGAGATGAGCTTTCAGGTCCTTTCCAACCCAAACCATTCCAGGATTCTGTGAAAGGTTCAAAATGAGGCTTGGAACTAACACTGGGCATGCAGGAGAATGGGGTGTTGTGTAATCAAAAACTGCTCCTTGTCAATAAATTTATATGTTTATCTATGCAAGCATATCAAATTTAATCCAATATGCTGTGTCTGGACTTCTCAGAAAAATTTCCGTTCTGTACTGACCCTGTTGCCAAAGGATCCTTTGCCCTTTCCATGCTGTGTTGCAGCACAGCACTAGGAAAGCAAGTGATTCATTCATAGTCTGTTAAGGAGCTTCCAAAGGGCTTCCAAAGGGCTTTTCTTTGTTTGTTTGTGTTTGGGTTGTAGTTCTCAATGAACTTGTTCTGTCAGAGATCAAAGAGGAAGATGAACCAAACAAATACTTCTGGGTGGTTGGATGTAAAGTGTGAAGTAGATGTGCTGCACAGCTTCAGGAGCACCTCTGCCAGCAGGAAAAACTTGGAATATCACTCTGCATTTTTATTAGTCTCTCCAGTTATTAACTTTGTGTTGACTGTGTGTGGTATATGGAGGTGCACTTCTATAGCAGGGCTTGGTTTGAGCTGAGAAAATGTTGCATTCTCACCCACTTTCTTGGCTGAAGCAGGGGCTCACCTCGGTTTTATGAATGTTTCAGGTCTCTCCATATACTTTAGCACTTTCTCTTGGCATCAGGGGCAGCAGGAAGTAGTTTCCATCACAGGTAGTTCCAGTGCTGTTCTTTCAAAAGTGACTCAATCTTTGGTCAAGCATGACTTTTCTATGCTTGTTTGGGGTTTTTTTTGCTGCACTGCTTATAAAAGTCAGAGCTCTGGAAATGTTAATTAAAATGCTTGTTTTAATTCCCTCTCCAGCAATAGGCAATGCTTTTGCAGTTCTGAGCAACCCTGAGAAGCGACTGCGATACGATGAACTGGGGAGCGACCAAGAGCACGTCAGCACTGGCCAGGCCAGGCACTACAATTACTACACAGAGTTTGAAGCAGACATTACACCAGAAGAAATATTCAATGTGTTTTTTGGTGGGCATTTTCCTACAGGTCAGTGGCTGTGAAGTGCAGTGGGCTGACACTAAACCCCAGGGAATGGCTGGAGCTGTGTCAGGGCGGGCTCAGGTTGGGTCTCAGCAAAAGGTTCTTCCCCCAGAGGCTGGTTGGGCACTGCCCAGGCTCCCCAGGGCAGTGGGCACAGCCCCAAGGCTGCCAGAGCTGCAGGAGGGTTTGGCTGATCCTCTGGGGCACAGGGGGTGACTCTTGGGGATGGGCCTGTGCAGGGCCAGGGGTTGGACTGGATGATCCTGGTGGATCCTTTCCAACTTGGGATATTTTGTGATTCTGTAAACCATAAAGGAAGGTCAGCTTCCCTTGGGACTGCTCATGGAATTGATTATACATTTGAAAAGAGCAGAAACCTTTTTGGAATTGTTTTCTGCCTTTCTTTTATTCCCTCCATCATCTGAAGCCAGCAGTGGTATGGGAGATAAAATAAGGTGTGAATGGGAAGAGATGTCTTAGGTGATGGCTGGACTCAGTCACCTCAGAGGTCTTTTCCAACCTCAACCATTCCATGATTGGGTTGTACTTGAGGCACCTTCCAGCATTCCAGGCCGGCATGGCACAGCTGCTGGAGTTGTGGTCTCAGTGCCTCTCTAAGCAGGGAAGCTCCTGTGCCTTTCTGGCACGTTCCCGTGTGCTGGAATGAAATTCAAGCTTGGGAGCTCAGCAAGTGCTCCCTGCCAGGATAGACTGTCCGTGGATATGCAGGATCCAGGGGATATGCAGGATCCAGTAACACAGCAGTGGAGCTGCACCTGTAGTAGCTCTGGGCATGTATCAGTCCGGTCTTGGCTTTTGTATTTGTAGGAAAAATAGAAAGATGCCACAAGATCTGTGGATTAAAAGTAAATCTGAAAGGTGTGGTGAGCTCAAGGGTGTTCCTGGCAGGAACATTTAGCATTCCTGTAAAGTTTTCCCCTCCCAGATGTCACATAAAGTGACGTACACACCACTTACTACAGCCTGAAGCCACAGACACAGGTAGTTACTTACAAGCTCCCCATAACCTTAGTTTGAGTGGTGCATCTTGCAGCCAGGGGACCTCAGGTTGTTCCTAAATTTGCATCAGTAAATGTGCAAAGTGAGCCAACCCCAGCATGGTGTAATTCCATCCAGAGTCTGCAAGTTTTCCATTCCTGGCTGTGCAAGGAATTGCACCCGTGTGTGCCTTTTGTGGAACATTGCCCTCGTGGAATGGGACTGCTTGGTAGCGTGGGGGACAGGGATGCTTGGAACTGAGGACAGGAAACTGAGGAGCTGCAGAGGGAATTTGGGTACTGGGCATGGCAGGTTTGTCAGGGAGAAAATGGGAATTTTGAGCCAAATGGCAAAGAATAAGGAAAGAAACAGGTATTTCATAGTAGTTGGTGTTGGTAGGAAACAATGGTTTCCTCACCAAAAAAGTGTGTGGATGTAAATTTGTGTACATTTTCCTAATGTAAAAGTCAGTTTTAAGTTATGGAAAATTACCAGTTTAGCAATTTTCCAGATAGGGAAAGTCCTGACAGATTCTATTTAGCAAGAGAATTGCTAGTAAGAGGTAGCTGATATAAAGAGAACATTTTTTAAACTGCTGTAGCACTAAGTAGGACTTGCCTGAGCTGAAGTTTGTGCTGGTTTTTGTTTTGTGACACCTTGCTGTCACCAGGCTCTCTGGAAATCCAAATTAGAGGTGTTGGTGTCAACTCATTTGTGTGGCATTTGTGGGCAGGTTTATGGCTTTGTTTTTACTGTGCAGTTTTCCTCTGTGGATATTCAGTGGAAAAATATTAAAAGTTAAAATGTTAACTGTGATAAAACTTAAGGGAGACTCCACATGGCACAGTTCTAATGGGGAGAGGCTACAACTTGAATGTCCTTCTCATGAAAAATAAATGCACATGGAAGGAAAGAAACTCCTGGCAGAAATTCTTGGAGAAACTTGGAATTTTGGATAACTCTTTTCTAGGCACCCTGTAAAAGCCATTCTTCTGTTCCAAAACTTGCTTCTTTTTTCATGGCTTGATAAAATACTGTCTTTTTTCCAAAAAGAAAGTTTCCTCCTTGGAGACAGCCTGGCTTGGAGCTCTGATGGCACACATGCCTTGGAAAAATCCTTGAGCAAGCAATGGAACAGAGGTTTGACACAACAGCAAAGGTCACCTTCGCCCAGGTTTCTTGCAGAATTCTTTGGGAAACTCAAAAAAGGACAGTGGAAGAGTATAAAATAATGTGACATCTTTCCCAGGGCTTAAAAATAGATTTGCATTTCTGTTGTGATGATAAGCCATAGATTTCCAATTCTCTAACACAAAGACATGCTGAATTTCAAAGGAGGAGAGCAATGCTATTATTAAGATATTCATATGGTGATAAAATCAGAGTTAGAGCTTCAAATCGAAGCAGCACATGCAATTCTTTCCTCATTTTAAGGTTTTTAAAAATAAATCAACTGCATTCCACGTGCAAGAAAGGAAATCCTGAATTGTTCTCCTTTTTTCACTCAAAAAGCTATTTTTTTAAAATCTCTCTCCTTATGATAAAATAATTAAATGAAACCATTAATGGCTTGAAGGCAGAGGAAATAGAAATGAGTAGAAAAGCACATTCAGTAATTATGGGAGGCTGTAATTCATGGCCTGAGCCTGGAGAAGCAAATTCATTTTCCTGCCACAGCCTTGCAAGTGAATGTGACAAAACCAGCATTAAAATATGAGATACAATCATAAAAATCAGAACATGTCTCTGCAGTTTGATTTAAATTAAGATGGACTTGGGGCACACTTTACAATTTCTCTGGTAGGCTTTTTGGAATGACATGTTGTTTTGTCATTTCAGTCAGAGGTTGGCTGTGCTTTTTGGTGTGAGGTCTGACAAATGTAACCAGGCTGTGTAGTGTCAACCTGGATAGTTAAACAGAAACTGAGGAGTACAGGTGAGTGCCATGAAACATGACTTTTCTTTTACAGGAAATATCCACATGTTCTCAAATGTAGCCAGAGATGCACATTATTACCCACGGAGGCACCGGACTGAAAGGGCATGGACACAGGAGCAGGAGGAGGAAGACAACAGGCCACAGGTAGCCAGGAGGAGGGATCTCCTGGCCTTAAATATCTCACCAGGCTGAGGGAGACCTGAAGCCAGGGCAAACCTTCCCATGCTTGAGTGCTCAGTGTTTATTCTCAAGCACTGCACCCACAGGGGATGTTTTTTACGTGACTGGATTGGCTTTTATTAATTGCTGCTTTAAAAATACTTTGTATTTATAGGATTACATGCCTTCCAGTTTCTGTCATCCAGGGGTTTGCTGCTGCTTCTTTTTTCAAGCTGTAATGTTTGGTAATCCAACAACAATTAGTCCAAATGGGGCCTGGTAATGGGTGTGGAAGCACTGGCTTTTGCTCTTTGTCCTCAAGGTGTATTTAAGCCTTCAGTAAATGAGCACCCAGGTGCTGCACAAGCCTCTCCCAGCCGGGGGCAGGATGGCTCTGGGATACGTTTCTGCCGACTGAGACCTCCAGGTGAGACAGGGTGTCTTTCGTTGCCAGTGCACATACACATGTGCCACCTGCCTTGGCAGAATCTCCCTCTGGAGACCATCTGTTAACCTCGGGGGATCATTCTCCAAGCAAGATGAGTTTTCCCTTGTGAGTCTCTTAGTCAGCCTCTGAAAAAAAGAAATGGATACAGCTGACAGCAAACACAGGGCAAATGAATTCCACCTACATCAGGAATCCTCGTATATCCCAGGGCAGAGGGTGAAGCCTGAGTAGGTGCATGCTTTATTTTCCTCCTCCTAGCATTTTAGAAGCCAGTTTAGAAAGAAATCAAAAAGCAGGAGGAAAGATCTGTGTTTTCCCTTTGATACTTTTCCACTCTCTTGTTGCATTTGCATCCTGTTCCAGCTTACAGCATATGTGGTCTCTTAACCCTTTACTGCTCAGCCATTAAATCCAGTGCTTGAACAGAGGTTGAGGTCTTTAGAATGGGTGTAACAAACTTCAGAGAGTGCCTGGAAAGCTATAGAACATGAGAATTGCAGTGTTGGATTGTCAGCTGGGCACTGACAGTGCTGTGGGTGTCTATTGCCTTGTGAAGAAGGGGGTAGAGGAAAAGATAACTGAAAGAAAGTGGTTGTCAAGAGATGTCTGAGATTATTAATAAAGGTTATTTTGAAATTACAGTGTCATCCCTCTTGAAATCCCAAAGTACTTCCTCTTTTTTTCAGTTTACACGTAATACATTGTTGATCTGTGATAGGTAGCCTGGTTTCTGTGAACAGATGCCTCTTTTTCCATCTCTGTCTTCCCTTGGCTACTAATTCTTGTTGTTCTTTTCAGAATTCCTATTCTGCATTTATCCAGTTGATGCCAGTTTTCATCATCATAGTAGTGTCAGTGATAACCCAGCTGATGGCCACCAACCCTCCCTACAGCTTATTCTACAAGTCGTAAGTGCTTTGAAAACACGTTTTTCTGCTCTTACTGTGTGCAGTGTGGAGGCAGAAGGCAGTTGGATTTGATAGCAGAATTCATGTTAATATTCTGCTCTTTCCAGCAAGTGTTATCAGCTCATAAATAGGGAAATATCAACAGTCTGCCCTGACGAGTTCCCCTGAGCTGTGAAGTTACCTGTGGTGAGCTTTATTGCTGAACAGAGAGAGACACCAGACCAGAAACCTTCCTCAGCTGGCGTGAAATGGTTTTGCACTGTGATACAGGAGGATAAATGTGGGTGTAGATCAGCCTCTGGTCTGCCCAGCCCCTGGAATCTGTGGACCACCACTGAGGTTCCTCTGGAAAGCAGTTAAATAATGAAGCTTGTGGTTTGCAATATGAATCCAAATCTGCTCTGGAGCATGAATTCCACTGGAAGCTCCACAAATCATTAAAGCCTTGAAATTCCCTGGTTTAATTTCTGTAGAGGAACAGGACCCTGGGGAGCTGGTCAGCTCTGGAAGCAGAAGGACCACCAGCAGAGCTGCTGTAATCTGAGTTTGTGAGGCAGGGGAAAAAACAGTGCTGGGAGGGAGGAAGGAATCTCTCTAGTGGGAAAGAGCTCACCTTGACTGGCTCTTACTGAGCCAGAAGTAGGATTGGCAGGTTTTGGGGAACCAGCATAGAGCTCCAAACACACCCCTTGCTCCCTTCTAGGAGTTTAACTCCTCAGGTCCAGGGCTGTCCCCTCCCTTTGCTGTCAGAGTAGCCCAGCACCCCTCATCATTTCGCCACAAGATGTCAGTGTGAGGCCCTCACAGAGGAGCAGGAGGGTGATTGTTTTTTGGTGGTTTTTTTTTTTCCAGGGAGTGTTTTTGCTATCTGCCAGTCCCATGTGGAACCTCCCACGCTGCCCCCACAGCAGCTGATCTCTCCTGCTTTTCTTTACTGCCTCCCCTTCTCCTGCTGGTGTGAGATAGTCAGGCCTGAGCCTGGCACACAGTTAGGTCATTTCTCTAAATCATAACTTTAAAAAACAGCTTAAAAACTAGAAGCAATTGTTTCTTTAAAGAGAGTGGACACCTCTGAGACAGCGAGAGAGAAGGAAAAGAGGAGTCCAGGAAGAAGGGGCAAACAGGATTCCATTGAGTAGAGTGTAACCTTTGTGTTTTGGCTCCCTGCCTCTGCCTGTGGGCAGTGATTTGAGCAAATGCCTGGGTATCTTTGCTCAAATAAGGAAATTCGGTCTAAGAGTGGAGTTTGATCCAGTGGCTGTGTCAGAGGGGCTAATTCTTCCCCACTTTACTTACTGATGATTATAAAACCCTGAAGAAAAGTGTAATTAGAATCTCCCCTGCTAATTTTTAGTTCTACTAAAGGATCCAGAAAACAGGAAAATCCAGATCCAATTGCATTGTGCCCCAAGTCTTCATAATCTCTACCTTAGTTGTCAATCCCCGTGGATTTCTGGACTGAGTTTGCCAGGAATCCCCAGCAAACAGAAGGAAGTGTCTGGAGAGTTCACAGTTAAAATTTGCTCTGATATTTTGGAAGTGTCTTGAGCGAACTGTTGGGAACAAACACGGTATTCAGAAGGAGCAGTGTCAGTTCTTTGTAGGTATTTCCAAACATTAGATATTTTCCTGTGGTTTTAGCAGGGGGTGGATTCTGTTTGTAATGCACAGCTTGCTGTGCCCGAGACTTGTAATTTCCCTACTGGATGGTTGAGGGAGCCATAATCCTGCAGAAATTAACTGTAAAAACATGGCTCTAAATACTGTCCTCTGGAAATGCCAGTGTGGAGAAACAGCTCTTGATTTCTTTAGGGTTGAACTGCTCAAACATCTGGTTTCTCTGTGTGTCCACAGGTCCATCGGCCACGTCATTATCAGAGAAACAGAGAACTTGCAGGTGCCTTACTATGTTGATAGGAACTTTGAGAAGAATTATCAAGGAGCAGAACTCCAAGAGCTCGAGAAGACGGTTGAAAAGGATTACATAGACTATATTCAGACCAGCTGCTGGAAGGAGAAACAGCAAAGTAAGTTCTTTCTGTCCCAGGTGTGTGCCCAGGACACGCCGGGGCCTGGGCGGTGGCTGCGCCTCGCAAAGTGCTGCTGGTTTTAGCCTCAGTTTGCAAAGCTCACATCTCAGCCTTGCCCTGCTTTGAGGTGTCTCACATCTGCTCTTAACACTGAATTGGCTTTTCTTGAGATCTGTCAAAATACATTTTAAGTGATGAGTGGAAAGTAGATTTCACCATTTGAGACTTTTTTTTCCACTCGGTTTTTATGCTCGAATAACCTTTAGTGATGATGTTTTCAACATAGAACCCACCACATTTATCTAGCCCTGACAGATGGTTAGGCTAGAAAAGATCTTGAGGACATCACCTCTTCCATGTTTCCTTTGCTGGAGCACACTGGCTCCATGAGAAGTTTCTCTGACTTTTCTCTTAAAACTTCCCCAGGAGAGCCTGTAGCCTGTCCAGGTGCTCTTGGCTCTCTTGAGTGGGCTGTGTTCCTGGTATCAGTTTCCAGAGCTGTGCTTCTGTGCTCAGTTTGTGTGTTATTTGCATTTTCTATCTTTAGATGAGTTTGAGATCATGCTTTTCACCACAGTCAAGTCTTTTAAAAACAAGAATTGAGTGCAGGAAGGGAGAACACAGATGTGAGCATTCAAAATCGTTATTCTCAATCAGCCATGAGTCACTCAGTGATGTGAATAAAGGCATGTGAACCCCATATTTTAAGGCATTTTACACCCATATTGCGTTACTTACCTATTAATTGCTGCTAATCTGGTTTATTGAAAACAGAGCAAATCCCTGCTTCTTTGGCAAGTAACAAAAATAAAATTACAAGGAGTAGCTGATGTTGGGATGTTGTGACAGATTTTTTTTCAGCTAAAAAACTCATCACCTTTAAATGAGTAAACACAAAGTGCTGCTGTGTATAAAGGAAACTGGAACAAGTTGTGTCTCTGAGAATGTTCAATAGCAAACTGCTTTCACACACTGGTGGGGCTTTCTAAATTGCTCTGTGTGAAACAATCCTCAGCACACTGCTAAAAAGTGCCTTTGCACTTGTTTTCAGTTTCTTTACCAGTTGCATCATTATGGAAACACACTTTGTCCAAACAAGACTTGTTTAACCCTAGAGAAGAGGTAACAATAGTGTTGCTGACTCCAAACTCTTTACAGGTTTTTCATGGGGAGGCTTGTTTTGGTTTAAAACATAAAAGCTACCAATCCTGCTTTAAAGAGAAATAAACAGACATAGGTTCTGAAGTTAAAAAGAACCCATAACATAAGACCACAAAAATCCTGAAGTTTTTAGTGTGCTTGACTTGTGACCTTCAAGCATCTGTGGCTGGCAGGAGCAGCCTCTAAGTGTAATTTGGCTGTTAATACTCATAAATGTAGGCTTACCGTAGGGAGAGAGCTTTTCTTGCACAAAAATCCTTTTAATTGATCTTGTGCAACTGAAAATTGTCTCTCTCATGTAGACCTGGAGCTAAGGAGAGCCAAGCCCCAAAATAAGGACAGGGTTTGGGAGTCTAAGGGAGACCAGTTGTCAGAGAGGGGGAGATGATCCAGCAGGGAATGCCAAATGCCTGCCAAGCCCTGCTCCTCCAGAGCTCTGTACACTTAGAGATTGTATTAGTCACCCATCTGCAAATACATTTACAGTGTCCACAATTAGCAGTAGCCTGAGGACTCCACTGTAATTCAAACTAAGCATTTTCAGAGTGATTCCATCCATGCCAGTGAACAGGTAAGGGGCACAGCTGAGGTTGGGCTCACTTTGCAAAAATAAACTGTGAATACGGTGTGGAGTGCTGGAGAAAAGCTCTGGAGATGTTGAGGCAGTTCTTAGTCAGCTGTTGCTCCACAGCATTGGTCTCTTAATCCTTGTTGAAGTGTTTGACTTAGTGTACTCAGCTTTTTGTCAGTTGAATGCCTATTAATAGTACATTTGTTGTGTTTACTGAGGGTGCATTTCTCTTTAGCACCAGCAAAATGGACAGAGATGAGTTACTCAGGAACAGTTTGGTTTTAAAGTCCTTGATTTTATGACTTGGAAAGTGCTACCTGGTGTTCAACAACCTGAAGGAAAACTTTAAAAGTAACAGGTTGGTATCTTGTTCAGCCAGTTGATTTTATAGTGCTGCACCAAACAGGACTGCCCTTCTCAGCAGAGCAGTGTGTGAAAGTTGTGTGTGCTCTGGGTTTGGGTCTTCTGAAACCTCTGGAACAAATAAGTACAAAAAGCAGATCCCAGGTTTTTACAGGAATGTTTCAGCTGGGATAGCACAGTTGTAAAGTGAGGCTCCAAAGAGCTCCAGGTCACAAAGAGGCAACTGAAAACAGAGAGAATCAGGATATGTGTCATAGAATCATGGGATGGTTTGGCTTGGAAGACACCTTAAAGCTTATCCAGTTCTACCCCCTGCCATGGGCAGGGACCCTCCACTAGCCCAGGTTGCTCCAAGCCCTGTCCAACCTGGCCTTGGACACTTCCAGGGATCCAGGGGCAGCCACAGCTTCTCTGGGGAACCTGTGCCAGGGCCTCCCCAGCCTCACAGCCAAGAATTTCTTCCTGATATCCAGTCTAAACGTAGCCGAAATTCAGTATTTTAGGATGTCCTTAAAGAGAAAAGTTCAAAGGAACAACTCTGTAGAAGATTGAAACCCACAAGGAGCAGATGTGATGGAATAAACCCTGTCAAAAGCACAGGGAATAATTTTTCCCGATTGGATAAGTGGAAACTGAGATTCTCCACTGCACAATTCCAGGGACTCTGGACTCAGAGACAATTACCCAAGTCTGGTTTTGCTGGAGGCTTGTCAAGGCTGTGTGCCCAGCACTGCCTGAGTGGCATTTGGGTTATAAACCTGTCAATGGGTTCCTCCTCTAAAATGAACTGTTCATGCCTGACAGTTTGGGAAGCTTTTCAGTAAGTGGGTGGAGGGTTAAATGGTTTTAAATTTCAGTGGGACAGGGACACAGGACGTAAGGCATGAAAGGACCTATTGAAGTTCTTTCCACTCTGAATAATTTTGTGAAATGAGGGGCTTGTGAGGTGTATAAAAGCTCTTTGAAAAATTGAGTGTCATCAGGTAGCCTGTGCTTACGGAAAGGTTGACCTTTTCAGAAGTAAATTACTGCTTTTCTCCTCAGTGCATCTAATCCTGCAGCTAAATTATTCTTCAGGGAGAAAGCTATATTAAGACTTCCTCAGCTAATCAGCAGAAGAAACTTCTCTGAATTACTGGGGGGAAATAATTTAAACAATGGGATTATTTCAGTTTTATGTTGCTTTTGAGAAGAAGGGGAACAAATATGCAAAGTACATTTGAGATTGTTAATGAAAGGGCACGGAGGCCTTTCAGACAAGTCCCTCGGGTAACTCTTCACCTCCCTGGATTCAATACCCAGCAAAATTAGAATTAACAAGTGCCACAAGGATAACAAAGCACTGAGAAACAGTTCTTTAAGGAGGCTCACGGCTTCATCCTAATACATCTTTTTTTTTTTTTTTCATCTTTCAGAGTCTGACTTGTCCAATTTGGCCAAGCTCTACAGAGATGAGAGGTTAAAACAGAAAGCAGAATCCCTGAAACTTGAGCACTGTGAGAAGCTCTCCAGTCTGATTGGGATGCACAAAGGGGGCTGAGCAGAATGCACACGTTCCGTAGTTTTATTTATTGCTGTTTTAAGTTATGTTTTTATTTTCCTTCATATAAAAAGGGAAGGAGTCTATTGTAAGGAGTGGATATTGGAGTCCTTCTGCATGTAGTGCAGAGAAGGGCCAGCACGAGCTGCAGAGCTGCTGTTTGCTGTAATATATCCTGTACATTAGATTCGGTTCCAAGGACCAGTGGCACTTTGTACATTCATTCCAGGGAGGTTCTCTTAGTTTGGAACCCCTCTGAATCCAAACTGCGTGTGCTTCCCAGGAGAGCACGCACGTGCCTCGGCTTTCCATGTTTTCTGTGGAGCTGCAGTGCAGTGGATCCCATGGACAGTGCTGTGCTCAGTGCTGGGTGTCAGCTCCTCTTCCCATTCAGCACCGAGGCTGTCCCTGCCTCCACAGTGCTGTGAAGGAATGTTGGGCTGATTCCAGTGTCCTGTGCAGTGCTGGGAGCAGGAGGGACAGGTACCTGCCCCAGGTGAGCCCCTGAGCACACTCCCAGCCCTCCCTCTGTCCAAGGCACTGTACCCTGTGCTGCTCCACGGGAGGGCCGTGCCCATCCTGCTCCGTGTGACACCAACACGACCAAGAAGATGGGAGTGTGAACTGCACCAATCCAGTGGCTGCAAAACTGTAAGGAAAGGACAACCATGTTGATTTTCTCATCTGTCTTCAGTGGCATATTTTGAAGCTGGCTGTTACATTCTGACTTGGATCTGCACACTCTTCTCCAGCTGCTCCAGGGGCCCTGCTTTTCCCGGTACAGTTCTCATGTAGCATATTTTTACTCTGCTGAGCAGTTATGAATGTTTCACTGTAGCCATCAGTACTGCAAAGAAAAAGACCCATGTGGTAGTGTCCTTTTTTTCCTTGATCCTCCTTTCCAAAGTCAGGCCTTGAGGAGCAGTTTGAGGCTGGTTGTACCCGTGAGCAGCAGAGACCAGTGTTACTCCGGCTGAGCACCAGTTTCTCTGGTGGGTACCACGGGTGTGTGCCAGGCATGGAATGACCTGTTCTTCCAGGGTGGGGGGCTCAGGGCAGCCACAGCACAGCACTGCTCCCCTCTGACCTTGGGAATAGTTGTCAGCGAGATCTGAGCAATGCTCTGCTGTGGCCTCATTCCTAAAACCTGCTGCAGGATGCACAGGTGGCTTTGCCTGAAACCTAGGGAGCAAAGTGCTCCAAAGTTTGGGAAATGCCAGGATTAAACCTGCCTTTGAAGCTTAGGCTTCAGGTGTCCGTGTGCCTGGTGGAGCAGTGTTGTCCAGGTGCTCTGCTGAGGGGCCCTGTGGGCTGGAACTGGCACTGTGGGTACCACAAAGTGTCCCCTCCGTGTCCCTGTCCTGTTCACACAGCAGGGGGAAGTTGGGCAGCAAACAAATTAGGAGGAAAAGAGGCTTTTCTGGGGTGTGCACTGGAATTTGGGGGTTGTATCAGGGGTTTGAGGCTTGGTGCTCCTGCACGTGAGCCAGACACATTCCAGATGTGATGAGAACATTCCAAGTACAGCAATGGTGCTGCTGTGGGGTGGTGGGGTGTCAAAAATGGGGGGAAACAACAAAGTAACTCTTTAAATTACATATTAGCATTAACATTTGTATCCCGTTTGCAGGAAACCTTATAGGAGCAGGTGGGAAAGTTGAGCAGAGTTTGTTGGGCACCTGGGGTGGGAAGAGCAGCAGTGTGCACCGTTGGGCATTTTGAGTGGGTTGGTGCCAGTCTGCAAAGGTTCATTATTCCAGGATGGTGGCTGGATTGGTTATTAAGGGTTGATTATTCCAGGATGGGGGCTGGCAGAGCAGGCAGTCTTAGTTCTGGTGTTTCCCACCTTTGAGCACGACTGTGTACAGAAAGCAAAATTAATGTTGCTTTTTATCTACTAAATAGCTTGTAGAATATATTAGACGTCTGTTCAAGTGGTTGGACCTGGTTCTAGGGTTGGTATCTTCCCTGTCCTTCCTGTGGGAGTCCCAGAGCTGTAGAGGGGATGCAGGTGGAGAGACCAAATCCAGTGACTTCCCTGGACCTGCTGTGTCCTGCGTGGAGCTTGAACTCATACACAGCATTTTGCACTAGAACCAGATCACACCTCTCCATCCAAAGATCTCCAAGGACTTGATGGAGGTGGGGACCCCCTGTGGGAAGCACAGTCATACAGAGTCTTCTCTGGAACTAGGAAGGGGGCTGGAATGGAGCAGGAGGTGAGACTGAGAGGTAAAAACATTTCCCAAAGCAATAAGTGTTCTTTGTTTATACCGGGGGGTGTCAGGTGCTGGTGTGTGCTGGGAGGGGTGTGTGGCTCGGGGTGTCTGGTGACAAACAGGACAAGCTGTGTTTGTACAGCACGGGCATCCTGCTCCATAGGGAAAAGGAGAGTCCTCTCTGGAGCCCGTGGGCTGGAAATGTATCCCTGTCCTTCTCCAAAGGGTGCTGGGGCTCCTCGTTTCTGGGTCAGAATAAGAGAATAAGGTGTTCCTGAGCAGGAGGGTGGCTCGGAGCAGGGGGTGCCCCTGTTCCCTGGGAACACCGAGCACTGGGAAATAGGTCTGTGTGTGTGGATGTATTCGGGGTTTTTAAATTAAAGACGTGACATCTCCGTGCCTGTACGTGCCGTGGTGTGGAAGGAGGGGCAGTGGGAGTGTCCCAGGCGGGATGGCGGGGCCGGGCTCGGCGCTGGGGGAGCGGGGCGGGCCCGGCCCCAACATTTGGCGCAGGGTGCGGGACGTGGCGGCGGGCGGGCAGGGCTGGGGGTGCCGCGGGCCCGGGACAGGGACGGGATCGGGATCGGGACCGACCCCATCCCCCTCCCAGCACCGGGAGGGGGCGGGGCCGCGGTGGGGGCGGGGCCCGTTCAGACCTTGCCTTCCGGGGGCGGGGTCTGCTCAGGCCCCGCCCCTTGGCCCGCCCACGGTGCTGGGACCCTGCGGGAATGGGAATGGGAATGGGAATGGGAATGGGAATGGGAATGGGAGAGGGGTAGCGGGGCAAGGGGCTGGGAGTGGGATAGGGGGCTGAGAACAGAACAGGGGGAGCGGAGCAGGAGTCTGAGAGTGGGACAGGGGGCTGGAGCGGGGCAGGGGGAAGCAGGGCAGGGCCTGGGAACTGGGTCTGGGAAGCAGGGCAGGAGGAGCAGGGCCAGGGGATGGAATTAGAGCGGGGAGCAGGGCCGGGCCCTGCCTGTCAAAGCCCTGCTGTGGCACCTTCTGGTTGCAGGACCCTCCTGCCCTGCTGTTGCCCAGCCTGGGCTGGCACTCCGGGCCGGGGCACTCTGGCACACAGCCCTGGTGCCTGCCCGGGCAGCACTCCCTGCCCCGCAGGGCAGCCCCGTGACATCCCCACACGGGGGGAGGTGGAAGGGTCCCTTTGAGCTGTTCATACCTGCCCCGGGCTCGCACAGCAGCCCCGGGGTGTCGCAGTGCCCGAGCTCTGCCAGGGCTGCCGGCGTGTCCCGGGTGCCCAGATCCCGACTGAACTCCAGGGGTGTTCAGGGGTGGCTCTGAAAGCCAAGCTGGGCCAGTGTTTCCTGCTCTTCCGGAGTTGCAAAAAGTAGTTCCAGCGTGGGAGAAGCACGTCCTGCTTTGGGCAGCTCCCAGCAGCTTCATCCTCCTCCTCCTCACTGCCTCTGTGCTGAGCGTGCCAGCGCTAAGGTGAGTGAGCACACACCGAGCTGGCACCAAATCCAGGTTAATAAGCAAATGCAGTGGTGATCCTGCAGGCAGGATCCCGCTGGCTTAAACATAAATCAGTGTTTAATTAGCAAGGCTGGCTCAGCCTGGTCCACCCGCTGTTCTGTAACGTGTTTGTGCCCGAGGCTCCCCACGCACACCCCGACCTGCTCTGGGTGCTGGAAGGTGCATCTGCAGCCTCTGACCCTAAACCAGTTGGACCTTGGTTGACAAGAGGACCCCGGGGTCTCCATGCCATCCTCTCTTTGCTGTTTGCAAATCAGGAGCCACACCAAGAGTGAGGAGGAATCCCAGGGCCAGGAGGAGGAGATGCAGGTGCTGGAGTGTGGTCCTTGCCCAGGGGTTCTCCAGCGGGGGTGGAGAGACAGGACTGCCCAGCCCATTCCCACTGTGTTCCCAAACCCAGACGGGTTGCTCAGGGCAGGATTGGGATCACCACCCTCACAGGGAAGAATTTCTTCCCAATATCCCATCTAACCCTGCCCTCTGGCAGTTTGAGGCCATTCCCTCTTGTCCTGTCACTCCAGGCCCTTGTCCCAAGTCCCTCTCCACCTCTATTGGAGCCCCTTTAGGAAGTGGAAGGGGCTCTAAGGTCTCCCCAGAGCCTTCTCTTCTCCAGGCTGAACAATCCCAGCTCTCCCAGCCTTTCCTCCCAGCAGAGCTGCTCCAGCCCTCTGACCATCTTGGGGCCTCCTCTGGACTCTCTCCAGCAGCTCCATGTGCTCCCTGTGCTGTTCCCCAGGGCTGGAGCAGCTCTGCAGGGGGTCTCACCTGAGGGGCAGAGGGGCAGAATCCCCCCTGCCCTGCTGCCCACGCTGGGGGATCAGCCCAGGGCACGGGGGATTCTGGGCTGGGTCATGTCCAGCCTCTCCCCCACCAGCCCCACCAAGTCCTTCTCCCCAGGGCTGCTCCATCTGCTCATCCCCAACCTGGATTGATCCCAGGGTTGCCCCAACCCAGGTGCAGCACCAGCCCTTGGTCTTATTAAAGATGTTGGGAGAAGCCCACTGACCTGACAGTCCTTGCTGCAACCCAGCCTGGCATCCTCATGGAGCTGGAGCAGGGGGTGTGCAGGTCATTCCCCTCCCCAGCACTGCCAGGAAGCAGATGGATGGATGGATGGATGGATGGACGGACAGCGGGTGTCCAGCACAGCTCCAGCCTCCCGTGCAGCCCCCAGTGCTGTTGTGTCACTTGTCACAGCTGTTGGCACTGTGATCAGTCTGGGTTTGGCAGGACCTGGGTGTCAGAAGTGCAGCAGCAGCAAGGACTGTGCTGAGTGTGGGGGCTGGAGTGAGGCTGGGAGAGCTGGGGGTGTTCACCTGGAGAAGAGAAGGCTCTGGGGAGAGCTGAGAGCCCCTTCCAGGGCCTGAAGGGGCTCCAGGAGAGCTGGAGAGGGACTGGGGACAAGGGCCTGGACAAGAGGGAATGGCTTCCCACTGCCAGAGGGCAGGGTTAGGTGGGACACTGGGAGGAAATTCTTCCCTGTGAGGGTGGGGAGGTCCTGGCACAGGTTGCCCAGAGAAGCTGTGGCTGCCCCTGGATCCCTGGAAGTGTCCAAGGCCAGGTTGGATGGGGCTTGGAGCAACCTTGGACACTGGAAAGTGTCCCTGCACCAAAGGCATCAGTGAGACACCCCGGGAGGCTCAGTGGGACACCAGTGAACCTGTGCTGGACAAACCTCCCTGGTGGCACTGGGATCCTGGGTATGACCCTCGGCAGAGGAGGGAGAATGAAAGAGCATCCTACTGGGATCAAGGAGTCAGCTCAGCTGGAGGGGAACCACATCCCCCGCTGTGCTGTGGGTCTGTACATCCCCTGGCACTGCAAATCCAGCAGCAGGCAGGGGCTGCCTGCTCATCCCCAGGGTTGGAGCCAGCAGTGACCCAGCTATAGAATCAATATTCCATAGAATCATGGAATCATTTAGGTTGGAAAAGCCCACTGAGACCATGGAGTCCAACTGCTCCCCCAGCACTGCCAAGGCCACCTCTAACCCTGTCCCCAAGTGCCACATCTACATGTCTTTTAAATCCCTCCAGGGACGGGGGACTCCACCACTGCCCTGGGAGCCTGTGCCAGTGCCTGACCACCCTTTCCATGAAGAAAGGGTGGGATTTAGGAATTTGGGAATTTGAAATCACACACACATTCTATTGCCCAAGGCCACTGTGCCAGTGAGCACTGCCCATGGCAAGGTACACTCTGCTCCCCTGGGTACAAATGCCACCTGCAAACCCAGCCCAGCAAAGGGTTAAGCGCCAACCCAGCTCTCTGGGAAGCTTTCCTTGCCTCCTTCTCTTTGCCAAGGTTTAAATTTAGTCCCTGCATGAACCCAGAGGACTTGGGCATCAGGTTGCTCTGGGGCTGGCAGCACTGGGGAGCACCTGCTACTGCTGCTTCACAGCAAAAATCCCCACAAAAGCTGGAACTGGGCTCCACCGGCAGCGATTTGGGCCAGGAGGCTGCAGAGACCCTCGTGCCACCCCAGCCACCCCAGCTGCTGGCTTTGAGTCTCCCCAAAAAAGACACATGATAGCGGTCCATCGGTCAGCTCCTGTGAGTCCCAGGGGTGTTCCATGCCCGGGGTCATCCCAAGCCTTGAGTTTGTTCCTGGCCACTTGGATTAGATCTGAGGGAGCCACTGCTTGGGGCAGGGTGGGGTTTGGGGAACCCACAGCATGGGGACACACCATCCCTGTGGCGAGGTGGGCAGAGGGGCTGGGAAATGAACCGGGGGGGGGGGACAGAGCTGCAGCTTTGGGACCCTGCTGTGCCCTCAGCACCGGGGAGGGGGCGTCCCCAGAGGAGTCTGCAGGTCCCCCAGCTCCGGGGCAGCCCATCTCGTTCCACGGGATCACACACCCGGGGACTCGTGTGGGATGTAGGGATGCCCTGAGACCTCGCCTGGGGGTTTGGGGAGCAGCGTCGCGGGGCGAGGGTGCAGGGGGTGGTGCCGGCAGCCCCCCGGCAGGTCCCCGAGGGGGCGGCCGTGGCATCCCTGCAATGCACTTGGCATCGGCTCGCCCGACTGGCGCTCGCTGAGTCCATGTGATCGAGGGGCTGCTCTGCCCCGCCGGGTCCAGCCGCCGGCACGGCGAGCGAGCCAGAAGGACGAGCCAGCGGCCCCGGCGGAGCGGCCCCAGCACCGAGGAGGGTCCCCCGGCCCCGGCTGGCTCCGCCGGGGCCCCCCTGCCGTGATGCCCCTTGCGAAGAGGGACCCCGTGCCGCTGTCCCCCGCCGAGCTGCCTGGCCCCGACGGCGACGGTCCCCGCCCGGGGGGGGACGGCCGGCGGTCCGCGGAGGAGGAGGAGGAGGGAAACCTCCCCGGGCTGCCCCGCGACGACCTCGCCAAGAGCATGTCGGGCTCCTCCGTGTCCTCCTACCACTCCGCGCTGTGCTCGGACGGCACGGAGACCTTCAAGGACTGCCTGGAGTATCTGGACGAGGAGGGGCCGCCCCCCCGGGCTGCCCCGGAGCGCTGGGCTCCGGCGGGGGCCCCCGGCGATCCCCCGCCCGGCCCCCTCGCCCGCCCGCAGCAGGCTCAGCTGTCCGGCTCGGCTAAGAATAGCCCAGCGCCGGGGCAGGGGGGCAGGATGGGTCCCCGCGGCGGGGACCGGCAGCCCGGGACGGCCGCGGCGGCGGGCGGGGAGCCGGCGGTGCCCCGGCAGCCCGGGGGGATGCTCGGCGGGGCGCCCAGCGACTCGGACGAGCTGGACGGCGAGGTGCAGGCGCTGACGGCCAGGGCTTTCCGCAGCCTCTCGGGGCTCCCCGGCGCCCGCCTCGACATGTGCAGCTCCCACACCTCGTCCAGCCTCTCCAACTCGCTGTCGGAGGACGGCGGGCGCCCGCGGCGGTGGCCGGCGGCCGCCGGGGAGCCCCGGGGCGCAGGGACGGCCCTCCACG